AATCATATAACAATCGATGGACCTCATTAAGACACATCGAATAATGGATAGTTTCAACGGAAATCTCCCACCAATACAATGACCTTCAGCAGCCAAGCTGAATAAAAAGATGTATTTAAATTTTGATTGTCTTGATAAAGTTTTTTTTATCATAAGTTTGTAATGCTACTTTTATAATGTTTTTATGGTTTTTTTTCAAGAGTGAAAACTAGTAAATATAAAAATGAACAGGATGAATACAATAGAAATCTCTTAGCGTGGAAATCGAAGGATGCGGACAAAATTTAAGGCTCTATTTTCTTATATGTTCCCTACAGTTTTTAGTAATTTTGCCACACCAAAAAAAATTGATCCTGGTCCGCCGATGTGTAATCAGTACATATTCATATGTGTATATATATACATTGTACATTTACACGATATCACTATCCATATGTATGGAAAAATATCAAAGAAAAAGAAAAAAAAACAACTCATTGATTGATTTATTACTACGAATGTTCGATTTTATTCTCTTTCACAAAAGAAGAAAAAAACCAAATATGATCATTAAAAACTATTAAATTCGATATTCATCTCTTTTATAAACATACATCAATCACATACAAACCAAAGACATTCTGAAATATTCGAAATGACAGGATGAGTCAGTCAGTTGCATTCTTAACATAGAGTAATCAAGCACGATATCTAATCTGATTTTCTTTTATCAATGTAATAATTGTTATTGAATATCAACTTTTCTATCGAAAGAAATTACTCATCCAGTTGAATGCCAAAGCATTAAAAAAATAATAATTTTGTTTTTTTTTCTCATTTATTATCTTAACAATTAACTCCAAATATCTTAGATAAAATTGTTATGCATCATAGACGTAATCATATTTTATAGATAGTTATGCAATTAAAATTTCTCAAAATTAGTAATAATAATTTTTCTCATCATAATTACGATCACATTGAATAACTTATATTTGCTTACTATATTTGCAAAAATATTGAATAAATCAACAATATGAAATATAGCGATGATCTTGTCGACTTGTTTCAATTCTTGATTATCGATTAAGTCTAAATTAAATAAATATATTTTGAAGATTTTAATAAAGTTTTAATAAATACAAATCAATCGAATTCGATTGAAATTTAAACAAAAAAAAAAAGACCGATTAATTGAATATTATCAATTGACTCTGAATATAGTTTTGTTAACAAAAAAAAGAATTCAATTTAACGTATTATTTTTCTTAATCAATTATAAAACAAAATGATGATAATAATAGATTTCATTCGTTAAATTCATTTTAAAATGTTCTTCCATCTTGATAATGATTGTTTTTTTTTTAAATTATCCATTCAAAAACTTCGTTTATCGATCAGTCATTTTATTAGGAAAACTTAATAATAAACAAAACGAAAATTTATCTATTTCATATAAAAAAAAAAGGCTCTGCACTTCTGATAAATTGACAATAACATAAAGATACTCAAGAAACCAAAAAAAAACATTGGACTTCATTAAAATCATTTTAATATAAATGTAATTAGCAATAAAACAAATTTTTTAATGGTTTCAAGACAAAAAATATTTTTGTCTATCAGTAGAATATTAATAAAGGAGCTAAAATTAAAATATTACTTTAAACTTTAAATAGTAAAGTAAAAATGATATAGTTTCATATTTCAACTTACAAAAAAAAATCAAAATTAAAATAATAAATTACTTTTTTTTTTTTCATTTCTTATATTTTATATTTTAATAAAATTTTATAGATTTTATTTCAATATCGATAAGTCCGTATAATAGCATGAAATTCAAATAAACTTCTCTATTTCATCTTATGCTTTATAACTATAACCTATGACGTGTTACAGATACCTTTCAGATATTATGAAAACGTTTTTTTTTTTCTTTCTTTCTGTTCTGTTTATATTCTTTACGAATTAATAGAACGAAATATTTTTAATCAGAAAATATCATATGTTTTTACAAATTTAATCCATTAATAGGAGAGAGATCTGAGAAGTCTTTTTCAAAGATCGAAATGTTAGTTTTTCTTTTTTCTTTTATTTCAAAGTCGAACTATTATATTTAATGAAAATAGATTCAATACATATGTATAATCCTGTTATTATATCAAGTACCATTTAGATGTAGATTATCGATTGAAAAATTTGATTATTATGATTTCGAAATTAATAAAATTTTATTTTTCTATTGATAAATTTTGTACTTTTGAATAAAACAAAATTTTCATTATTTGTTTTTTGGAAAAAATTTAACTTGAAATTTTCTAACTTTCAACTATAATAAATTTCAACAAGATTTTGAGAAAATAATATCAAATTTAAAGAGAAATATCAATCTAGTGTCATCATGAATTTTTTGTATTATTATTAAACAATTACAGGTCACATGAATAACATTAAAAAAATGTTAAGTTTTTTCTTTTTCTTTTTTTTATGAAACTAATAAATAAATTTTACACCTTTTATAAGAACTCAAATGTTCCCATTGATTTTATCATGAAAATATAATGTTACTCAGACTTTTTTAATTTTTTTGATGAGTTATGTCAATTTAGACATATTACTCATTCATATTGCAAATGTCTGACAAAATAAAAATTCGTAAAGGTCGTGTTGATCGAAGAAGCATAAGAAATTGAGGAAAACTATTCGCTGGAAGATTTCGTGGTAACCAACAAAGAAATATGAAACCAATAAAAAAAACTGCTAGATCAATAACTCCACCAATATCTCGAATTAATGCTTTTGGTGTAAAAAAATCAACCATGTGCAAAAATTTTTAATGTTAATTCAACACTCATAAAAATAACAAATAGATATTCGGCTATCTACGAAAAAAAAACAAACAAAGAAAATGAATCAATAAATAAAAATAATAATAATAATTAGTTATATACTTGTAATAAAGGTTGATCAACAACTCGATTAAGAGGTGTGTTTCAAATGACATCCTAACTGTTGATAATATTGTTCCAAGTATGATAATCCAATAAAGATATGTAACTAAACCAAGAAATTTACTAGAATAAAATACATGATCGGTTTTGAAAAAAAAACGGAGAAAGAAAAAAAAAGAAGACTTACTATCCTTGTTTATATCGACTAATTTTTAATTCTTGTCCAAGAGAATCTTTAGTTTTAACATTATAACGAGCTTCTACAAGAAATTGACAAAATTTTCGAAAATTACTTTCACGTCCAATTATAAATAAAGGTCTATCAAAAGATGGATGATTTTCACGAAGATCTTCTTCCTCTTGATTTCTAAACAAAAGAATAGAGATTTCATTTATCTCAAAATCATATCTTTTCATATAATTACATCGGCAAAATCACATCGTTAACAACATGATTTTCCATAAATAAAACATGTGTATCTCGGGATGATGAACTTTCCTAGAACTCTATTTTTATATATGTTACATGTATGTTAAGATACTCTAAATATCCTAAAGATATCAATGTGCTCGAGATTTTTGCTCAGATGAGTTATCAGTAAAAACAAAAAAAGCTAGCGTTAACGACATGGTAGAATAAAGAGAAGATAGACTCTCATTTGATGAATTCTAGCTTAAAACAGCTCTGCATTGAGAGAGTACTAAATAGTAGATTCTATTGACAGTCTCTATAAAAATATTCTATTGAGCATGAGTAGATTTTTCCAAAAAATTCGTTTACTTTTCGCAAGTGACGTTATAGAGTACGAATATACAAACAAAAACAAAATTCTCTTATCACTCAATGAGAAGTTGAAAATTTAATTTCAAATAGTCAAAACTCTTCTTCAGAATCTCTAGTTAATGGTAAAAGCAACATTTTTGTTTCAGAACCTGACAAGATCTCTAGAAAACTAAGATTTTACAAGAAGGTTTTTTTTTTAAATTCGATCCTTGTATTTTTTAATAAATAGTCACTTGAAAATGGCAACATTTTGTTTTAGATATGTTGATGTTAAAAGAATTTATTCAGGAAAAAACTAATCCTTATCAAGAATCAAAGTCAAATGAAAGATGGATATGTTCTCTATTGTTAGGAATAGCTTATTTACCCTTTTATTTCAGCTTGTTGTTTTCGATATTGAAATAGTTTGATATCATAATCATCATGATTTCGACCAATATATCCATTTTCATGTATAACATTTACTGGTTTTGATCGATAACCTGAACGACGCATCGAATTTCTATTGAAATATTAAAAAACAAAACAAAACAAAAAAAAGTTCAATAGAAAACTTAAATCAATAAATGATTTGTTTTCGTTGTTTTTTTTTCTTTACTTTCGATCAAGTCGAATCTTATTTTGTTCTATGAATATTGATACTTTATTATCAGCTATACTTGCTAATTCTACTTGATTAGCATCACCACTTAATAAACGTTGATTATTTACATTTCTATAATATTCTTCTATTTATATACAAGAACAAAAAAAAACTAATTTAAATAAATCTGATTATATTGTTTACAGCTGTTCGTTTCATAGTATCACCTATTGATCGATTTTCGGACGTATGTTATGTTTTAACTGTATATTTTTTATTATATAAATCTATTGAAAGTTCAGGATAATATGAATTAATATCATCTTTATTAAGAAATTGACGCATAAAACTATCACGAATTTTTCGAATTATAAAATCATGTGGTAAGACGTGATAATTCAATCATTTGAGGATGATCAGGAATATTTTCAAATACATGTAAACGCCATGGTAATTTTTGTTGAATTTCTGCACTAGTTTCACGTGTTTTTAACTTAAACAAAAAATAATAACAATTACACTTTGGCACAAGTTCTAATTACAATCAAATGTTCGGAGAATTTTTTATATAAGATATTTGTTTTACTTTTGACTTGATCAAAAGTATTTCCGACAAGTCAGAAGCTATGAATTAGGATGCTCTTTCCAAATATTAGTTTAGAAATTTTGTTCGACAGTAGTGAAATAATCTTTGAAAAGCTCAAAAACTTAGTTTAGATGAAACTTGTTGAGCTGAAGTTTCTGGTGAACATGTTTGTTCATGTTAATCTCCTTGAAAGCATCTCAGACAAACCAAAAACTATAGATCGCGGTTAGAATTTGGATACGGACTTCGAAATATTCTGTCTATTTTTGTTCAAGAGTAGTGAGTGACTTTTTGAAAGATCTAAAAAATCATTTTAAATGATGAGCTAACAAGTTTTTGTTTATACTATAAGTCTGTTTTTGAACATGCTGAAAATTGTCGCAGTCAATCATTTTGTAGAGCGGACAGTTCTCTGACTCAAGCATTTTTGTTCAATAGCTCCTTTAAACATAAAACGGATGTCGATTTTTCAGAAATGAACATTTAAGAAAAACGAAAATTAAGGTGCCTTGTCAGAAGAGAAAGTCTTCGACTATTGCGTTGTTGTAAGGTAGCTCTTCATCTACAAGCTCATATATAAATAAAGATCGCAACTTTTAGATAGAAAAAATCTTCTATATAAACTTATTTTTGTTGGCTTTTCAAAGATGATCTCACCATTCTCAAAAAAAATTCATTCTACAGCTATTCGATAGAGAATTTTTGCGCTCTGTGTTTTCACGATCTTTTCAAGGTTTCTATTGTTATCGTTGATAATAAATAGTCATGTGTGATTGCTAAGTTGAAGAGTGAAAGCAATTAGGTTGTATCGATTGAAAAAAGAAAACACTCACTTTATCCTGTTAGAGAAGGGTATTTGTCAGAACAATTTTTATT